TCCGATGAAACCAAGTTAAAGATTGATGAGTTGACCTTCTGCGTTTGTGTCTTCAGGAAAAAGAAAAAGTTGTTCCTTCCCTGCTTTCAGACCTCACACACAGTCCGATTGACTCGACCCGTACTAATAATTATCTCATTCACGCACATCGAGACACACTTGCATCGTAATGAAGCCCAGCGGGGAGCTGTAATTGAATACAGCAGCGATAATGACTCCGTCTGGCCTGAAGATTACTGTGTTTGTGTTTAAGTGAGCGTGTTTGATCCTCAGCGCTGCGCTCATTTCTCACGTATTCATCTCAGGGTGGTAAAGATTTATCTCATCTGTTCCCCAAAAGTGTCTGAAGCACTTCTCTTGAAGCTTTTCTCATTTTCCTATATGGAAAATTGGTAAAGATTTTGAATACAGTAGTCCCTCGCTACTTCGCGGTTCGTTTTTCACGGTTTTTCAAATAAAGACACACAAACGACTGATCGATGGATGAGCCGCACGATCGGCATGGAAGTTTTATTTAAAATAAATTATTTCAAATGATTTAGCACCTGCAGCACCTCTGTGCAGCCCACACTGCAAGATAAGCTTCCTCCCGCAGCTGATCAGCTGCTCCCATGTAGAGCGGAGAAGTGGGCGTGGCCAAGAACGCTTGAAGGTGGCAGCGGAGGCAGAGATCATGACATTCTGTGCTCAGAGCGTTTAGAGTTTAGAAACATTGTTTAGAATATTGCAATAGTGTGGGAAGGGTTTAAAACGCCTTAATACATATATGTATGTAAATATAAATTACTACTTACTAGTTGTAGTAATATTCCTACTTCACGGTTTTTCACTTATCGCAGGTCATCAGGGTACGGATCCCCCGCGATAAACAAGGGACTGTATCACATATCTGATATGTGCTTTGGACTTCTGGGAATAAAATGTGTTTATGAAATTTGTTTTTAATTATGTTATACACAGAACTCCAGCTTTTTTTAAATTAGGGTGGTAATTTTAACTCGGAACATAAAAATTAAACATCCAGCTGTTGTTTTGGGTGGAAGAAAATTACTTATTTTGACCGACTTCTGTATTTTAAATGTATCCCTCCAATCTTGTGACTTTCTGTTCAGTGCTGCCAGATTTGTTGTATTTTATTTTGCTTGTTGAAATGCTCTGAGGGATTAAAATGAATTTTCCTTTTTTTGTTCTCTGCAGTGTTGCAGATGATTGCATTTTTTTTTCCTGGCTGCCCTCTGCTCCGACACAAGTCCGGTTCTGTTTTGGATTTATTTAGTCTCGTTTTTCTGCTCCGGTTCCCTTCACGCTCTGACTAATTTCATGTCAACAACAAACGTGTTGGCGTATTACGAGCATCTAAGATACTGTCACCCTTCCTCCTCTGCTCGCTTCTTTGTCTCCAGTTATAAACTAGCTGTTTACTAATTATGAAAAAGTCCAATAATTATTATAAAATGTCCAACTCCTGATGCATGCTCAGTAATCCAGGTAGTAACTTCACCTTGTTAGTTCTAACAATATAAATAAAACAACTTGTTATGCAATCTGTAATAAACAAAATTAAATAGAAAGTTGCAGCTCTCTTGTAAAAATAAACAAATTAAAAATCCCTGTGTCAAATATTCATTTAGTACCACTTTACAATAAGGCTCCCCTTATAGATGACTATAATTTTAGTTGTAGATACTTATAATGCAGTGATAAAGTAAAATAATACATGCTAAAAAATAACAGGTTTACAAATGCTTATTGTGCTAACAAGGTAGTAACTTAGTCTGAAATGTTTAATGTAACAACTTGAGATTAAATATATAGGTGAACAGATTTTACTCACTTTTTAGCAACAAACTGGTCAGTTTTGTTTCTTTCTCACCCTTAATTAATGCATAATAAGCAGTTATCAATGATTTATAAAGTGTTTATAGAGGATTTATATATATATATAATATTTTTTAGTCATCTATAAGGGGAGCCTTATTGTAAAGTGGTACCATTGATTCTTTTTTTTTTAATCAATAGAAAATAAATAATCTGAACCCCTGAATGCACCTTCCATCAGTGCAGTGCTGCTTTTATTGCTACTGTTTGTTCCTTGTTGAGGGACTGCAGGAGCTAAAAGGAGCAGATTTGTTGAAACCTGAGGAAATGAGTTGTTCGGCCTCTCGGCAGCACAGTCAGCAGTTTGAGCTGCATCAGATGTTGGGACACGCCGCCCATTAGTGCCAAGCCCATCGGGTCTGAACACGCTGACGTGCATGTGTGAATTCAGGATGAACGCACATCCATAAAAAGCAGCTTAAAAATGTTGACTTTAAAAAGCAGCGCGTTTTCTTCAAAGTAAAAGTCGTGCATTCATGGATGTGTTGCATTATTTGTCTTTTTTTTTATTCTCTCTTGTCTGTTCTACGTCTCCACTCTGTAGCTGGAAGTAACTCTACACGTCATTTCTGTCCCTTTTTGTCTTGGTTTTGTTGAGTATTGCTGTAAGATGTCGCTTCAAACCTTCCGTGCACATGCCGTTGGGCTCGAGCGCAACAGGCCCTGCAGCTCGGTCTTAAAATGTAAAAACTCAGCTGATGGTGATGATGCACCATGTTGGCATTTCTTGTTTTACTGTCAAAATGAACTACTTCTAACTTGGCTAAGTTCAATCAAAGATTTAAAAAGCGATATCCACACGTCTCAGACTTTGCAAAAACACAATAAGCTTCGTATAATGTGTAAATGTGTCACATCGCAACACAAAACAAAAGAGCAAAAAATTGTGTTAATTAGACTGAACAGACGTTGCGGTCCTGAGAAATTATTGACATTAACGTTTCAGTGCAAAGAAATTAGCTTGTTTTAAGTAAATGACTAATTCTATTTTAAGGTTTTTAACAATTGTTTTATAGCGTACTGTGTTACTCTTCAGTATAATGGGTTAGTTTAAGAAAAAAATATATATACTAAACCTGGTAACCTGCAGTAACATGCGCGCTGTCCGTGTGGTCTTTATAAAGCTGTGCTTTGGTTTTTATTTATGATCCCCAACAAGAAAACATAAAAATAAAAAATCACCTTGACGTGATGAGTTTTTAAAGAAGCGCTGAAACGCTCCAGGTGCTTGTTGTCTGCGCTGCCTGGTGGTCAGATTGTTCTGCAGAGATTCAGACGCTGAGTATTCTGGCTTTGTTGCATGTGGCCTTGGTGGTTTATTATTCATTTCATTCCTCCTTCTGTCATTCACAGCATCATGAAACCTCATCTGTTAAACTTGTTTTGCTCTGATGTGAAATATTATTTCCTTTTGCACAACACACACACACAATTCAGTTTATTTATATAATGTCAAATCACAATAGAAGTTGTCTCAGGGCACTGCACAGGAAAGAGTAATACCAAATAAAAACCATTCATTTGATGAAATGAGGTCAATTTATCCTCCAGTAGGCTAAGGTTATAGGAGCATAGGATAAGGAATACCAGTGTCAGGAAACCAAGCCAACCCTAACTATAGGATTTATCAAAGAGGAAAGTTTTAATCCCAGTCTTAAACTGGACAATGTGTCAGCCTCATGGACAGAAACTGGAAGTTGGTTCCAAAAGAGAGGAGCCTGATAACTGAAGGATTTTCCTCCCATTCTGCTTTTTGAAACTGTAGGAACCGCGAGTAAACCTGCAGCCTGAGAGCGAAGAGCTCTGTTAAGAAAATATGGAACAACAAGATCTCGAATATAAGATGGAGCTAGGTTGTTGAGGATTTTGTAGGTTCGAAGTAAGATTTTTAATTCTATTCTGAATTTGACAGGGAGCCAATGGAGAGAAGCTAAAACTGGAGAAATATGATCTTTCCTACCAACTCTCATTAAAACTCTAAGACATATCTAAAAAAGTTAAATCAGGTCCTCTGGACAGGTTAAAAAAAAAAAATGTAGAAACGTTTCGTCTTTCATCCGAAAGACTTCTTCAGTCGTCAGATGAAAGACGAAACGTTTCTACAACATTTTTCTACCTGGATTATTGAGCATGTATCAGGATATCTAATTAAGACACACACACTAAACACGGTGGTTTTTAGTTCACGCCTCACCAGTGTATGGGAAGTTTTTAAATAATTGACTTATTGGACAATAAAAATGGTCGCCCCAACCAACTGACTTGAGAAAACACAAATATGTCTTTAACTCTGCAAATGTTACAAATGCTGAGCTGAAACATAGTGTGGTATTAGCTGTGAGACATTAACAACACATGTTCCCAGCACCAGCTGATCATGCAACATGTCAAATGGGATTGTGTGTATTGTTATTTAGAAGTTTTGCCTGAAACAGACACAACTTCATCATTTCTAATACTTCAGCTCTTATTTAACTAGTTGTGTATTTTGAAGGAAGAGATGAAGGTTTAAAGGAAAATCTTGTTTTTATTAAGCTGATCACTGTTTGATGTGTTAATTTTCATCATTAGATGTTAACATGATGCTTGCAATGCGTCCTTGTTTGACTATCTGCCCGGTGATCATCCACACACACACACTCACAATTTAACACAACTTATTAAATTTACATTTATTAGGAGATGAATGATGGTTTTACTGTGCACTTCTCGTCTGTAGAATTTGATTTGCAATCCATTTACTTTCAATGCTGCACAATGTTGTAAATTATGTTTCTCATTTCTTTATGTCTCCTTAAAGGTAATGGTTTGTGTATCGCATTGATTTGTATTAAACAAGTATATTTCCTCGAGCTCCGTGCTAATGGGCCTTTGTAGGTTCCCTGATTGGAGCAGAACGTGAAATACTTACTGTGTGCAAAGAGAAGTCAAGGTTAGCCTCTAGTTCCAAATGGCAATATGTTTGCTCCATTTGTCTGCTCAACACGGTGTAGTTTTCAGATATTCTCATCCAGTATGAGCTTTCAGCATGGCCTGTTGTGTCCTGCTGTCGAGGACACACCTGAGCTGTGCACCTTTACCAACAATATGATCTAAAACCCCATGCTTCTTTGTCTCATTAAATGCCTTCCGAGAAATATTTGTCTCCAAGAGGTAAGTTATATATTTTCAAATGGGTTGAATCTGAGCGCCTTACTTGTTTTTATGATCTTGCATTTTGACCCCGTTCTGCTTCATTGGATTTTGTTTCTGTGCATGTGTATTTTTGCAGCAGTTTTGATTTATTTTGCGTTCTCTGATCATTGTACACGCTTCTACCATAGAGATTTGTCATCATACGTTTTGTGTATTCTCATGAAAATGCCTGTGAGTCATGTTGTGATGATGAAACATGGGATTGATCTGAGCAAAGCTGCAGAGCGTAGGCAGACGCCGAGCTGCAGAAATAACTCTGAATACTTACTGATACAAACATGTCCAGTACGTAAGCAGTACATACCTGGTACCTGGATCTGACAAAGTCTATGGTACAAACTCAGTACTTCCGCAGTACATACCTGAAAAGTACCTGATATTTACCTGGTAAATACATACTTGAGGTATGAAAAGTACTATATATATATGTATATATATATATATATATATACCTGTTATGTATGATGTACTTACAATGTTAGTACCAGATGTGTACTTACAATGTTAGTACCAGATGTGTACCTGGTATGTATCAGGAAATCATAAGAAAAATTCCCAGTATGTTAAAGGTAAATATGTACCTGAGGTAAGTAACGGGTATGTACCCTGTACTTACAAGGCAAGTACCAGGTATGTACCCTGTACTTACGAGGCAAGTACATAGTATGTACCATTTACTTACCTGGTAAGTACCAGGTATGTACCCTGTAATTATGAAGCAAATACCTGGTATGTACCTTGTACTTACGAGGCAAGTACCAGGTATGTACCCTGTACTTACGAGGCAAGTATGGGGTATGCACCCCATACATACCTGGTAAGTGCCATGTATCTACCCTTTACTTACCTGGTAAGTACCAGGTATGCACCCTGTACATACCTGGTAAGTGCCAGGTATGTGCCCTGTACTTATCTGGTATGTACCTATATGCACCCTGTACTTACCTGGTAAGTACCATTTACAAACATGGTACAAACCTGTTATGTACTTGGTATGTACCTGGTACCTAACCTGTATTTTCCAGTTACATACACAGTACTTTCCTGTTACTTGCTAGAAAAATACCAGATACTTACCTGTACCTCGTATGAAAGTACCTAAGCCCAGAAAAGTACATGGAATGTCCAAGGTTCTGTTATGTATTGCTACCAATAAGTTTTATGAAATAAACTTCTAAATTATAACATTAAAGTTTTTTACAAAACAGAGTTTTTCTGTGGCATGTAAAAAAACAAACAAAAAAAAAAAGTTTTTATTATGTAATTAATGTTCTGCAGCTTTGCTTTTACCACGCTTTCAAAACCAGAATTTTCAGGTTGAAATTCAAATGTTGAGCTTCTTGTCTCCCTCTTCCTGTCCTTGTTCTCTGTGCAGTTGATCAAAGTTTGTTTGAGAACTCTGTGGCGCAGCAGCAGAGTCCTCAGACCTCCAGGCTCAGTCAGGTGTTGGCCCGACGGCCTCCAGCATCGGCCTATTCCAACGCGGGGTCAACCTGCACCGAGTCTCCATCCTCTGGAGGACAGCAGAGGCTGAAAAATGCTATTAACCTGGGCAAGGCGGTGGGGGCAAAGGTCAGTGCAACCTTCACTGAAATAGAGCGCTACATGGTGCAGGTCCTCAGGCGTACCCACATAACTTAGTGGTTTCGGTTTGTCCGTCTGTTTTACTTTTTATTTGTTCTTTTCTCTCAGGTCAACGACTTGCTGAGAAGAAAAGAACTCAGCCACCTCGGAGACATCGGAGTCACAGAGATCAACAAGAATGTTGGTGCTGTTTGGAGCTGCATGGACCAACTCGGCCCAAATACCACCAGCAGGTGTGCAAACACATCTTTACTCCTTCATACACACAAACACGCGTGTTTTTGTTGAGTTTTTTTACGTTTAATACAAACCTTTAGTGAGAGATTCTTCTGAATTTTATTTCAATGATTTTAGGATAAAACTTCTTGAATTTACTTTTATAAGAAAACGCATTCTCCTGAGGAGAGATCTGTCAACTCTGTGGCTCAGATAAAATGAATAATGCAGGATTTTTTTTTTTTTTTCTGTGAAATGTGCTTTTGAATTAATAATCGTACCTTGAAGGCATGAAGGACTTGTCCCGAATTAAACTACACTGAATTTCATTGTTGAATTTTCTACTTTGTGTTTTTATGTTTATCACTGATTTGGTGATGGTGAGTCTATAAAGGGCACTTAATTTGATTTTACACATTTTAAACTATGTAGGGGTTGTAGTTCATAATTGTAAAATGTGTTTTTATGTCAGAAATTGAAAAATATACCGTAAAAATCCAAAGTGTAAAGCAAAGCAAGGCAGCTGAGTCCAAGTTGCTGTGATGTTATGATGTTAGGTGAGTCTCGAGCCTCAGACAGAGCTGCCCGCTGCAGCTCAAACAAGACGTTTAGGCTCCTGGAGGTGGTTAGAGTTGCTAACCATGGAGCCTTAAGTTTTGTCTCGGTGCTGTATCCAAAACAAACAGCAATATCCTCCGCTTGGCTGGTAGGAGGTTTATTTTTTCCTCCTCTTGCCTGTGTTTTTGGTGGATCTCCACTTATCCCTAACTGGAATAAAAAGCAGCAGGTTGACGTGTTCACCTGCAGCTTGGACAACCTTCATCGGTCAGTTGGGGAGGAGGAGCTGAGCTGGATTCTTGGGGAAAGTGCAGGTCCATCATCCACCTATACATCTATTTGGCGTGTTCTTGTTAGAACTGTCTGTTTGTGTTCAAAACAATCCAATTTCTGTAAACATCAACTACAACTCGCCCGCGTTGTGGTGGTCCTCCCTAATGTGAAACTGTAGCGTACTAAACCACACATACTCTCATTATTAATTAAATTCATTTCAGTTTATTTTTATAGCGTCAAGTCACAACAGAAGTCGTCTCAGAGCACTGTAAAAAAAAAGTTCATGTACATAAAAATCCAATTAGTAAAGTTTTCTATCTAAGGAAGCAGCTGATTGTGTTGAATCTTCACGTTGTCACAGTCTCCCATCCTGAGCGAGGACAAAGGAGACAGTGGAAAAGAAAAACTCCCTTTTATAACCAGAACTTTTTTCAGGACGACCGGGCCTTCTGTTTCAACCGGCTGGGGGTTGAGAGGACAGGAAGGAGAAACGGACAGAGAATGGCAGGTCCAGGTGAACTTGCTATAGGATGAATGAAAAAAAAAACACGTTAAGATAGAAATAATTACAAATGCAAACTATTCATTCGAGGAAATATGGCCAGTTTGTCCTCCAGTAGTTAAGCCTATAGCAGCATAAGTAAGGGATAGCTCAGGAAACCAAGCCGACCCTGACTATAGGATTTATCAAAAAGGAAGAAAAAAAAGCCTCATCTTAAAACTGCACAATGTGTCAGCCTCACGGACAGAAACTGGAAGTTGGTTCCACAAGAGAGGAGCCTGATAACTGAAAGCTCTGCCTCCCATTCTGCTTTTGAAATCTGCATTCAACATCATCCAGACTGATTTGTTTCACCTCAAACTTGTCCTAAATGCCGAAAAAACCAAAGGGATGCTTTTTTCAAATAGGAAGTTGGTCCCAGCAGTTCTTCCTCCGATTTTATCCTCAAATGGTGTCCCCATTGAGTTTGTTGATTCCTATAAATATTTGGGTATCTTGGTCGACTCACATCTTTCTTTTAAGCTCCATGTGGAAAACTTGGTAAAGAAACTGAAAGTTAAACTGGGTTTCTTTTTCAGAAACAGATCCTGTCTAACCCTGAATGCTAGAAAACACCTTGTATCTGTGACTTTCCTTCCCTCCATTGATTATGGTGACATTATTTACATGAACGCTCCTACAAGAACCCTGCAGATGTTGGATGCTGTCTATCATGGTGCACTAAGATTCATAACTGGCTGTGATTATCATACACACCACTGCACCCTGTATTCACTGGTTAACTGGTCATCATTAACTTCACGCAGACTCTCTCACTGGTACATTTTCATCTTTAAATCACTTCTTGGTCTGCTGCCTTCATACATCTCCTCCTACATGTCTCTGCGTGAGTGCAGCTACAGCGTGCGCTCTCAGGACATCATTACCTGCAGTGTTCCCTCAATGAGGACTGAACTTGGCAAAAGGGCCTTCTCCTACTCCGCTCCTGTTTCCTGGAACATCTTACAAAAAGATTTGAAGCTCTCGACCTTGACCTCTCTAAGTGTCTTTAAGAATCTGTTGGACTCCTGGCAGGAACCAACGCAGACATGTTCCTGTTGTTAGTTTTCTACATTTGTCTTGGAATCTAGCTGTTTTTTGTTTTGTTACCTTTTCCTTTTAGCCATCCTATTTGTTAAAAAAAAAAAAAAACTGTAGTGTGCTTTTTTATAACTGTTTATTGTTGTTGCTGTTGTCCATTGTTGTCATTTTTCTTTGTTGAAATCAGGTCTCTCTTGTAAATGAGTCCTCGAGGCTCAATGGGATTTACCTGTATAAATAAAGGTTGATTGATTCCCATTCTGCTTTTGGAAACTCTAGGAACCACAAGAAAACCTGCAGTCCGAGTACAAAGTGCTCTGTTAGTAAAACATGGAACAATAAGATCTCAAATATAAGATGGAGCTAGGATGTTGAGAGCTTTGTAGGTTAGAAGTAAGATTTTGAATTCTATTCTAGATTTGACAGGGAGTCATTGGAGAGAAGCTAAAACTGGAGAGATGATCTCTCCCAGTAACTCCAGTTAAGTGGCAGCAGCATTTTGGATCAACTGAAGACATTTTAAAAAAGTATTTGGACACCCAGATAATAAACCATTGCAATAGTCCAGTCTAGACGTGACAAATGCATAAACCAGTTTTTCTGCGTCATTTTTAGATGTTTCTGATGTGAGTGATATTACGCAGGTGGAAGAAGATGGTTCTAGAAACATTTTTAATGTGGGGGATAAAAGACGTGTCCTGATCAAAAATAACACCAAGATTTTAAACATTAGAGCTGGAGGCCAGATTAATGCCATCCATAATCATCATTACATTACCTGGCTTTGAACACAAGGTCTGCGGTGATCTCAGTAGCTCTGTAGACCTTCTCGTACCAAAGCACCATGTTGCATGTGCCCCGTAAAATTCTCCTAAACCACCGAGGCCTGCTGCGGAGATTATTTGATGTAACTGCTGGGTTGTAAGAACATGAAGAAGACGTGAGTTGAGGTCTTGAACTAAGAACGTTCAGCTGCTTTCTGATATTTTAAAAAATTTTGAAGTGCACAACCTCCTTATGAAAAAGTTCTTTGGGTCGGGATTTCATTTGCTGCTGATGTGCTCTGCTGCGTGAACAGAGGAACTAAGAAAGGTTCTTACAGGTTCTGTAAAAGTTCTTGCAGTGGTAGGAAGAGCTTCTTTCATGGTGGTTTTGATTTGAACGAGGCGCCGTCAGACTGTAGACCAGATGAAAACGGGGACTACTAAGAAAGGTTCTTACAGGTTCTGTAAAAGTTCTTGCAGTGGTAGGAAGAACTTCTTTCGTGGTGGTTTTGGTTTGAACGAGGCGCCGTCAGACTGTAGACCAGATGAAAACGGGGACTCTTTCTTTTTCTCTCCGCCTGACTCCTCCATCAACGCGTTCTCATCAGTAGGCAGAAGCAGGTTGGACGACTGAGTCATCGTCTTGATTTCCGTCACTGAAATTGCACGAAAACTTTAAATGACTGCGATTCAGTAAAAATGTGAAACCGTTTAATAACGATTCAGTGAAGCACTGACAGGAAGACGTTTTGTTTGAAAGGAAAAGTGACTTTCATCCATTATTTTTACGGATCTTCTAATAATTTTATCTTTTTTACATGTTTGGCCTTTCTCGCCTTAAAAGCAATAAAAATCAAAAGTGTAATAAAAGACTGAAATCATCTCATGTTGAGAAGGAGCATTGTCTTTGACATTTTGATCAAACGTTGTGATGTTATTGGCAATCGCATGTTATAGAGCTCTGAGTTTATGTTATGAATAACTCTCAGCTACTACCAGATCACTTTTTAGCTCGACGTCTGTGAATTTGACAAAGTTATGACCATTTTTGTGTTGGCTAAGGTTGATTAACTGTGGCCACCAAGTTAAATTGGATTGCCTCCAGAAGTTAATCAGTTGGCGAACAATATCCAATTGTTGCTTTCTGAGAGTTTTGTTCAAATGTATTCAGGGGCTCATGAGATATTTTGCTAACAGACTCAGAAATATGCGTTTTGTTCTGTGAAAGGATTTTGTTTTTGTAAATCTGATTATAAATTGACTTGGAAAGATAAACTCTCTGTGAACAGTTTGATGCTGTGACTTCCTTCAGTTTTCTCTTTGTTTTTGTATTTTCGTCTCTTCGTCTCATCCTCACACCTGATTATCCTCCTCATCCTCACACCTGATTATCCTCCTCATCCTCACACCTGATTATCCTCCTCATCCTCACACCTGATTATCCTCCTCATCCTCACACCTGATTATCCTCCTCATCCTCACACCTGATTATCCTCCTTTCTTTCAGTCACATCTCCTCCTTCGACTCGTTCCCTCGTTTGGACCCGCCGCCGCCCACGGGGAAGAAGCGCCTCCCTCGAGCCCTGAAGACGACCCAGGACATGATGATCTCCTCTGATCCTGTGGTCTCCTCCTTGGAAGCGTCAGACTCCCACTCCTTCGTCCCCTCGCCAGAAACGATGCCCAAAGAGGAGACGAGGAGCAGCGAGGAGCAGCGGAAAGGACGTGAAGAGGAGGCGACGGATAACAACCCCGCAGAGAACAAAGTTTCGGCTGATTCAGAGAGCAAGGAGACCAGCTGTGAGCTGGATGGAGTCTCAGGAGGAGGAGGAGGTGAGGAGGAGGAGGGGGTGAAGGGGAGTACTGAAGGAGGTGTGGAGGAGAATCAGTTCCAGCTTCAGCTTTCCGTCCCAGACCTTATCAACAAAGATCCTCCTCTGGACTCTAAATCCAAACCCTGCGACGTGTGGCAGAGGGCATCCTCACCGGACTCCCGGCTGGCCTCCACCCCCCGCTCGGGCAGAACTCACTGCCGCATCAGCCTGGGGGAGGAGGTCCTGCTGGGGAACGGTGCCCCCTGCAGTAAGGACTCTGGAGGGGGGGCTGAAGACGCAGAACCTCATCCTGACCTGCTGTCCTTTGAGTAGCACCCAGCTCCATCAGCTCGGAGGATTTTCTTCTGGAAACGGGAACCAGTTTGTTTGGTTGTTTGTTTGTTGTTGTTTGGGGGGGGGGGGGGGGGATCGAATCTGTTGCTTTTTAACTTTTTCTCTGCTTCTCGGACAATTTTAAAGGTCGTCATTGGCAGACGTGGAGTCCGTCAGAGACAACAAGTCTCCTTTTTTATCAGTCTGGCTTTAAATGATGGACGAGACGCAACCAGAGAAAAATGAACGGGAGGTTTTATTTTCAGATATTTAAGTCTTAACAAAAGAAATCCAACGTCTTCCCTGCGTTTTTCTGCTTTTGACAACCAGATGCTGTAAGGATGAATGTATTGTAATGAAATGTACTTTTAAGTGGGTTGAATTCAGTTCAAGGGGGGTGCACAAAGTTTTCTAAATCTAATGAAAACTCCAGATTTCTGACTCGTTTAAGGGAATCTTTCATTACATGTTAAAAACGTACAGAAGCTGCTGCGCAAAGCCCCTGCAAAGCACAACTAATATATGTGAAATAGCATTATTATTTACATTGACTCAATTTAAAAGAAGCTGTTTGTGTGTTTCCAGCTTGGGAAACAAACGGCAGGTTGATGGATAGGAGGGAAAAGTGAGAGTTGAAGGTACAAGGAACGTGTTGAAGTGTGAAATGCTCAGGTGAGGTTCTCTCCGTGGGAATGACAGGAAGCAGGAATAAAAGTTTCAACTTTATCCATAAATCCTCAAACAGGATTTGCTCACAGCGAGTTTAACAACGATTCTGTTGGAGCCAATCAAATTTATTAAATGTGACCAAGAATTTTAGTTTTCAGGGTGTCAATTTCCTGCTTTCTGCACCGGTAAAAAATAATAATAATAATTCTGCTCAAAGAGAAGTAATCAATTAGTGCATCTGGATCCAGGTTGGTGTTCTCCTCCGACTGCTAACGTCGGGACAGAGAGAGATGTGTGGCTCAGGTGTCATTAGGAACAAGGGAAGGCTTTTGTTTTATTTGTTGAACTGAAGAGCGGAGATATAATGAGCCGTCAACGGGAAGAGATGAAAGAGGAGCGTTCTGTTCGAGCAGATCTTAAAGTGGCAAACCAAAGAGGGAAATTAACCGCTCCGACAGCTGGGGGCTAAAAAGAAGCAATAACACGGAGGAGATGCTTTTCTTCTTTATTTCATCTTTAAAAAGGTGAAAGCCAAAGTCGAGATGTTTCCACGTCCTCAGCAGTGAATAAGGTTTCGTGTAATCCTGCTGTTTGTACTCGGAGGTCATCTGGGTAAAGGCGAGCTGACATTAAAAGAGAACTTATTGAACCTTTATTCAAATCCGTGCATCGAAATAGGAGGCTTAAGCCCTGGTTGCCATGGTTACCTCGGCACAATCGAAGATAATAAAAGTGGAAATCTGTCTCATTTATTTATTTATTTTTTTTTTAGGCTGCACATGAACTTGAAACGTCAATCCTTTAGATCCGTGCATCTGGACTTTACTACAAAGAGTGTCAGTGTTCTTAAAAAAAAAACTTTCTGAAGTTTCCAGACAGGAGCGGAGAATGTGAGGAATGTGGAAGCTGCTCTTTGGGAATAAAGGCAGCTTTGTCTCTGACGGATCAGCATCCACAGCTGATTTCTCTTCTGTGGATTTTTTTTATTTTTCTCAGTCATAAAAACCCACAAAGCTGCAGATGTTCAAATAAATAATGAAAGATGTGGGATGTTCTTTTTTAACCTTCGTGATTCTAATTATCGTTCTGCTAAATGTGACGACACCGGTTTGATATTTAGCGCAGCTCTGATGTAAGTCGTTAATTGGTGGCGCTCTCCTCTCGTTTCGAGGCTTCACAGACGTTGATGCTCAATCAAACCACTTCTTGACCTTCATGACCTGGTCCAGGTGTCCGTCCTCCTCACCTGAAGAAAACAAACACTTCACAGAGTCGAGTTACGCTGCATGCGTTTGCTGCAGCATCCGTTCAGATGAGTAAATTCAGAATATTTGCAACTCGAATTAACTTTGACCAAATGTTATGTCTTTATTTAATTTAGATTAGAGGAAAGAACTCCTGATTTGTGCCCTTTTTTTTATTTCTTATGTAAAATAACCAAAATGGTTGATTTTATTTCTGTGTCACGACGTGTTCGTCCTCTTTTAATTGTTTTTTTTAATGCAGTTTTGTCAACGTTTTGGATAAAAAGAACCATCCAGGCATTTAAAAGGGTCATATCTGCTCCCAGAATCAGAAACATGTTGCTTTATTATTTTAGTTTAATCAGTTTAATTAACGTAAGCACTGTTTAGTTGGGTTTGCTGAAGGAGGAGCATCTGTTGACATACATTTTTGGAAATTCTGATTTTTTTTTTTTTTTGACGATTTCTGGAAAAAAAAATCTAAAACTTTCTTGGTGTAACAAATGAAGAATGGTTTATTTATATTGCTCACTTATAGAGACTTATTTAGCTGCTTCGGATTTAGATTAATGCTTAATTTGATTTTCTTGTTTTTGTAAAGCCGGTCGACAACATTTTCGTTGCAAGATGAATGAAGGAAGCTCCAAGCTGCACAAAGGGACTGCTGGATGCCAAAAGCAAAACCTGAGACTTTATTTTTATTATTCTGTCTTTTTTATGTAAGAAAATCAGAGTGAATCGACGCTTTAGCTTTTTATTTTCCTACAAGATTTTTGTAAGTGAAGAAGAAATCATTTCCTGTAATCCTATAAATATAGATTTAATTTTGACCTCCGTGTTTTGTCTTGTTTGACCTTGAATTCTTTTCATGTTTCCTCTTTAAATGGCCTCGCTGATAAGTTTTGTGCTGTGAACACACTTCCTGTTTTGTCCGGTCCTCGTCAATTTGTCGGGTCCTCCGTTTGTTTGAGGTCTGTCCGTTTTTTTCGGAGGGATTCAAGAGTCGGGTGTTCTGATTAGGCCTGTTGCGATAAACGATAAATCAATTAATCGCATGATAAATGAAAATTATCGACCTCATTTTAATTTATCGTCTTTATCGTTTCTTCGTTTCTCTTTCTATTGAAGACACTGGATGACAAAAGGCTCAACTCCAGTGCTCTTCACTGCACTTCCCTTTCTCTTTTCTCTTTAAAATCAATTTTAACATCCAAAATTGTGTTTTTGTTTCGTTAAAAGCAGCTAAGCTAACTGGCCGGCCTCGGAAAAAACTTCCATCTTGTCGAAGCTCCAAAATTCACGGTTGAAACCCGTGCCTTCGTGTTAAAAGTTGTTTTTCTCTGCAAAAAGAAGATAAAGTTTTGTGTGAAAATGCTAAAGAGCTCAAACCACACCGAGTCGGGGAAAAAAGAAAGGAGAGACAGCCCATGTCACGTCAAGGCGCCTCCCTCCCGTTTTTCCTAAAGAGACACGCTGCTCACTCCCTCACTATCCATCCTTCGGTTCAAACCGTCTTATACTGCCATCGGGTGGTCAAAAAAGGTACTGCACCCATAATAAATTAACCAACATTTCTTCTTAAATTTGACAATAATTACTAATTATTGTCAAATTTCAAACAATATTATCGTTTATCGCAACAATTTCTGAGACAATTCATCGCCAAGCAAAATTTGTTATCGTGACAGGCCTAGTTCTGACGTTCAATTCATCCGTTTGTCCCAGTTCATAGGAATTCTGCTTTTCCTCTCGGCTCGTGTTTGTTGCTCTGCTGAGACGAGCTGACGGAGGCGACTGCACGATGAGACCATGTGTTTACCGGAGCCCCACATCAGGGCGGTAAACAACCAGTCAGTGGCAGCGCTCAGGTCCTGTCTGTGTTTAATAATTCAATCCTGACGTTCATATTGATTCTCCACAAAGAATCTAGGCCTCCATGCATAATGAATATCAAGTGTTTAACAGCTGGATTGTTTACTGGGTGAAAAGAAGATTTGTGTCATCTTGTTTGTCGCTTTAACGCCTAAGAAACAAGTTTACTGCTCTGGGTTTGTGCTCCGTTTGTTCCGATAAAACTCGAAGCAGAGTCGTACCTTCGGTTCAGTCGCTGAACGAGACAGTTTGACGTCCAGACGGTGTTGAGACAGAAGACAGAACCTGCTCTTCGTTTCGGCAGATGTGGAGGCGAAGGCCTCACAGATGCAGAGTCCGGATCAGCTGGTTTCTTTGCATCAAACCGTCCACATCTGCGACCTCTGGCATTTATTCTGGTGATACGACGACGCTGAAGTTGACCTAACCTAGTTTAATCCCAGTTTATTTTTTAGTAAACATAGAGCTGTCAGATATTGTTTACAATCAGAGAAAATCTTTTTTTTTAAAGGTGGCTGGACTTCTTTTCTTGTTTGATGTTCTCTCAGTTCAAACAGTAAATTGGAGTTCCTGGTTTTTAATCTAATCTGTGGTGATCTGCTTTGTTTGTATGAGCTGAACTCGCTTGCAGATTTATTCTTGGTGTTAGAAAGATCAAATCTGGAGCTCACTGTTTGTGAGACTGCGAGATTTTTGCTTGGAACCTCACTGGATTGGAACAACAATTATAGTTTAAGTGCAAACAAATTCCTGTGAATTACCTGGAAATGTCACGACCCGACCCCGGATAAGCGGAAGAATATGTACGTATGTATGTATGTATGTATGTATGTATGGATGTATGGATGTATGGATGTATGGATGCATGTATGGATGTATGGATGTATGGATGCATGTATGCATGTATGCATGTATGGATGTATG